GTGAGCCCCTGGGTGACTGTGGTGAGTTACCCCCCTACTCCAGTGCTCCGAGAGCTGGCTGTGGTTGTCACTGTCGCCTTTGTTAGGAATTACCCTTCCCCGGAGATCCCGACTCCTGGGTCCAGACGGGGCCTGCCGGCTGGGAGGGAAAGAACGAGGACGCTGGGGCAGGCTGGGCAGCAGCAGGCCGGGCGAGAGGCAGTGCCCGAGTGCCCGCGGTTCCGTGCCAGGCGGTGTCCAGCCGGGCGGGGAGCAGGCAGGCGGGGGCAGGGCTCTGCTGCAGGCCTGCGGGGTGGGGGTGGAGAGGACAGGCTGGCTGGCGGGCATCGCAGCACAGGGGTGTGCGGCCAGGCCACCATTGACCACCGCTTCTGCCTCCACAGGCTGGACAATTTGCTCAACATGGCCTACGGTGTCAAGAGGTAACAGTGCCCCCTCCCCGCTGTCCCTACACCCCAGTGGCCCTGGCCTGATGTGTCCCCCTCCCCCGCTTTGCCTTCAGGACTGCTGCCAGTTTAGCCGTGTCTATTCGGGCCTGGGAATAGCATGGCCATTAAGAGGTGTGACATAGAGGCCAGGCATGGTAGCTCACAAGTGTGATCCCAGCACTTTAGGAGGTTGAGGTGGGAGGATTGCTTAAGGCCAGGGGTTTGAGATCAGCCTAGGCAACACAGACTCCATCTCTGTAAAAAATAAAAAATAAAAATTAGCCAGGTGTGGTAGCACCTGTAGTCCCAGCTACCTGGGAGGCTGAGGTTGGAGGATCCCTTGAGCCCAGGAGGTGGAGGCTGCAGTGAGTTATGGTGGTGCCACTGTACTCCAGTCCGAAACACAGAGTGAAGCCCTGTCTCTAGAATAAACAGATCAGGTGTTCTACATCTCAGGACCTCTCTGCCCTGTAAAGTCACTTCTTTGGGGGGTATAGGGCATGGGAAATGTCTAGAAGGGGCTGCTGCAAAATATGGGTGCAGGGGGCTGCCTAAGGCCCCCTTCCGTGTATGCCATCTCAGTGAAAGCCAGTCTGCTTTACCCAGGACACAGTCATGCACTCTGGCTCCCTAGGTCTGCGTTCCCCAGGCCGCTACTGATCGTCTTTGCCAAGGGTCACGGTCACCCCTTCCACCCCAAAGTTGGGGACACACCTTAAGGCCTCTGCAGCCTCAGGTCCCTCAAGTCCTTGTCCAAGTCCCTGACCTTGTGACGGTCCCACGTGTTTATTACATAAGCTGTTGAGCTTAGCTCATGCTGAGTGCTGGGCACTGGGCTTGGATCCAGCGTGGCCCAGCCAGACTTGGTCCCTCATGGTGGTGAGTCCAGTGCTTGGCACATAGTGAGTGCTCAATAAAAGGTAGGCACCATGATGATTACTGTTACTGTTATTCATGATCTCAGCCCAACACTAGCACGATCTCAGGCAACATAGCAAGACCCCGCCTCTACAAAAAATAAAAAATTAGCTGGACATGGTGGTGCGCACCTGTAATCTCAGCTGAGGCAGGAGAATCACTTGAGCCAGGAGGTCGAGGCTGCGGTGAGCTGTGATCACACCACTGCACTCCAGGCTGGGATACAGAGTGGGACGCTGTCTCTAAAATTTTTCTTTTGAAGAAGATCTTACCTGTAATCCCAGCACTTTGGGAGGCCAAGGCAGGAGAATCTTTGAGCCCAGGAGTTCGAGGCCATCTGGGCAACAGTGAGCTCTCTTCTCTACAAAAAAAAGTTTTTGAAATACCCAGGTGAGCCTGGCTCAGTGGCTCAGCCTGTAATCCCAGCACTTTGGGAGGCCGAGGGGAGTGGATTGCCTGAGCCTGCAGGTTTGAGACCAGCCCGGGAAACTTGGCGGGACCTCGTCTTTACAATAAATAAAAAATTAGCCAGGTGTGGTAGTGTGCACCTGTAGTTCCGGCTACTTGGAAGGCTGAGGCAGGAGGATCGCCAGAGCCCTGCAGGTCGATGCTGGGGTGGCTGTGAGTGTGCCACTGCCCTCCAGCCTGGGCAACACAGTGAGACTCCAACTCAAAATAAATAAATTAATTAAATTAAATAGACAGGTGTGGTGGCACATGCCTGTAGTCCCGGCTACTTGGGCAGCTGAGGCAGCAGGATTGCCTGAGTCCAGAAGGTTGAGGCTGCCTGGCAGCAGAGTGAGACTCAGCTCAAAAAGAAAGAAAGAAAAAAGATCTCAGCGTAGGCAAGGAGGAGACAGACAAATGAACAGCGACTAGGGCTGTGCAGGGGCAGGACAAGGGGTGATGGAGACTCAGCAGAGACCCCTGACCAGTCTGAGGCAACCTCTGTGCAGAGGCCTGAAGACAGAGCAGCAAGGAGGCAGAGTTCCTGGCAGCAGGAACAGCCTGTGCCAAGCTCCAAGCAGGGAGCAAGCAGTTCGTCCCCAGAGGTCAAGGCTGAACAGTTCAGCCCTCTGGTCCTCTCTGCCCAGCTGAGGGGCCTCATCTGAGGCCTGGGTTGCCAGTGAGGCATGTGAGTGGCCTCCATTCTGTCTCTCCATTACTTTATTCAACAAACACCTCTGTAGCATTTCATCAATCCCCTCAACAAACTCCTGCCAAGAGCCTTTTAGGTGTGTCCTGGACTGAACAAACCCTGGAGGGAAGACAGAGCCGATAATAGGTTATGATTTGAGTAGGAAGAGGCAGATGAAAGAGGCCGGTCACTCTATGGGGTCAGAGGAGGCTGCCCTGAGGAGGTGACAGTTGTGCTGAGACCTGAATAATGGGAGAGGGCGCCTCATGGATATGCTCACATATTGCCCTTCCAGGGTGAGCCACACGGGCAGGGCGGCCACTCAGACAAAATGCAGGCAGAGTTGCCCAGGGTCGGGGCGGAGCTGGGCAGAGGTGGGATTCAGGTGAGAAAATGTATGGAGGGAAAGGTGGCAGCCAGAGGGGTTGAAATCAACAGGGCAGGTGGGGTCAAAGGTCACAAGGTCAGGGCAGAGGCCAGGTCTCAGGGCAGGATCATGGGTTGCAGGCTTATGTTTGGGGGTGTCAGAGGTTAAGACGGGTCAGGGGCGGTTGTGTAAGGGGGTCAGAGTTAGGGTTTCAGGTGGGGTTAGAGGGTCAGAGCTAGGATTTCAGATGGGTCAGAGGGTCAAAGTTGAGATTTCAGAGAGGTCAGAGGCTAAGAGTTGGGGTTTCAGGTGGGGTCAGAGGGTCAGAGTTGGAGTTTCAGATGGGATCAGAGGGTCACTAACTGGGGTTTTGGATGGGGTCCGAGGGTCAGAGTTGGGGTTTCAGGTGGGGTCCGAGGCTCAGAGTTGGGGTTTCAGGTGGGGTCAGCGGGTCAGAGTTGGGGTTTCAGATGGGATCAGAGGGTCAGAGTTGGGGTTTCAGATGGGATCAGAGGGTCAGAGTTGGAGTTTCAGATGGGATCAGAGGGTCAGAGTTGGGGTTTCAGGTGGGATCAGAGGGTCACTAACTGGGGTTTTGGATGGGGTCCAAGGGTCAGAGTTGGGGTTTCAGGTGGGGTCGGCAGGTCAGAGTTGGGGTGTCAGGTGGAGGCAGAAGGTCAGAACGGGGGTTCCGGGGGGATCAGGTGTGGATGCCTAGGCCACAGCAGGTCAACACAGTGTGAGAACCGCACAGCTCCAAAGTCACGGCCCCCTCGGGGCCCTGAGGACGTTGGGGCCGCCGGGTCGGAGGTGTGCGGGGGGTCAGGGCGGAGCCCGCGTGACCCCCAAAGTAGTCCCCTGTCGCTCATCGCCAGGTTCTCGCCCATCGCCATCGACGGCATGAGTGGTCTGGCGGGCGTGGGCCTGTCCGGGGGCGCCGCGGGTGCCGGCTGGTGCATCTTTGTGTACAACCTGTCGCCGGAGGCGGATGAGAGCGTGCTGTGGCAGCTGTTCGGGCCCTTTGGGGCAGTCACCAACGTCAAGGTCATCCGCGATTTCACCACCAACAAGTGCAAAGGCTTCGGCTTCGTGACCATGACCAACTACGACGAGGCGGCCATGGCCATCGCCAGCCTCAACGGCTACCGCCTGGGCGAGCGCGTGCTGCAGGTGTCCTTCAAGACCAGCAAACAGCACAAGGCCTGAGCTGCCCCCCGCCCACCCCCACCCCCCCCCGGGCA